AAACATAATGGATGATCTATAATAGTGATGAACTAATCATACTATATGAATAGAGTTGGAAGAATTGAATTATTAGGATTTTACTGAAGCTCGCTTTTTAAACTCTCTTAAAAACCTAAGAAAAAGTCATTAGGCAACTAGAAATTTTTTTTTTCATGAGAGGATTTGAAGAGAGGGCATTGAGCAAAGAGGGAGAAAGGGTGAGATTGTGTGACATGTAGAAGATCTTTATGGATTTTTGGGAAGTTTGAGAGGGCTTTCACATGATTTCTCTAGACAACTTGCATCTAAGGTCCTCCAAATGTCAATATTTAACATGAGGGAAGCTCTATAAAGAATCCTTTAGTATTAAAGGAAGTTGGCTATTCTGTCAAACTAAAACGGTAAAAGAGATTTTGGCTCCCCACCGTATATGGAAGGTGAAATAGATTTTAGCTCTCTAACACAACAAGAAGGTAGAAGGGATCTTGGCTCTCTACTAAGGTAGGGAGGTAAAAGGGATTCTAGGTACTTTGCCATACCAAGGAGGTTAAAGGGAATTGCAGTTACTCACCACACCGGGTTGCTCAAAGGGGTTTTATAAATGCTTCCCCACCTAGCCATGGGAACTGAAGGAGAGTCACTATTGTTTAGCGGAACACCCAAAGCAGACTTCAAGGAGTGGACTTAGGTTATGTTGATCAAACAAAAAAATAATCCAGTTTGCATTCTTTTACTTTCTACATTTACTTTCAGTAGTTTTTACTTTTTTGCATATATTATTTTCTACAAATTGGTTAGTGTTTTGCTAGCAGTTTGATATAAAGATAATTGTGCTTGATCCATGTTGATTTTTTTAAAATCAAAAAATTAAAAAAAAATAAAAAATTTTATTTAATTTTTCTAGAGAATCAATAACGCAAAAATTAGTACTTACTTTTGGTTCACACTGTGAATTGTGATTACTTTTGCATTCAATTTAATTTTGGTTTTTTAATACAAAAGTTTTGAAATATAAAAAATAATAATAAATTCACCCACTCTTGGTGAGTCATTTCATAGTTCAATTGGTTTCACAACAAACTAATAAACTTTCAAGCTGCACCTTCCCCTTTACAACCCACACACACTCACCCACTCTCTCAAAATGACACTATAAATGACTCCTCTGAGCGGCCTCTCTTCACACTCAAGAAATAAGGTGACAATTCATAGTTTTTTTTTAATAGAACTAGCATTATGGATTTGACTTAGTTGTGTTGCTAAATTGTTGCTCTAGTTCATCAATCATCGTGTCAATTCATTTGTTCAATTGTCTTCCACCATGGCACTAGGCAATCTAGCACTACGATGTTCTAATATAGTGCTATAGTGCTACTAAGTAGCACTTAGACACTAAGCCCTACAACCAATTTTTGGTAAGCTTTCCAAGGTAGTATTGAGGGTGTGGCACTGTGGCATTGAAAGGAGTTCTAGGGCTACGATGTTGTGATGGTGGTGTTGTGGCACTGGTTAAATTTTTCTTTCCACATATATTTTTCCACACAAAACACAAGGTTTGAAAGCATAAAATAATAATCATAGGAAAACAACATATCAAATTTATATTATAAAATTCACCCAAATTTTATATTATTACTTGTCCTTATGTAATAAATACTACACTGGATAAAAATAAATTTTAAGAATTTTCCTTTACTCCAAGTCTTGGTAAAATATATAACTAATAATCTAAGTATTTATATAGTACATAAATTGAAACATTCTCTATTAAAATAATGTTTAATGTCATGATTTATCATTTAAAATTAAAATTCTTTATAAGATAAACTCTTATGAGTGAATAATTAGACTAACATACATAGGTTTATTGAAATTTTTAGGATTTTTAAAAATTGTCATTTTAGTTATTCCTCAAGTTGGCCTATTTGCTTTCTTTAAGTATTAGGATTCCAATAATTCTTTTTAGAAGTATATAAGTAGGGCTAGACATTATAAGTACCAATTTTTAATAGTCAGATATTTAGCACTTTTTTATTTTTTCTTATTTTATTTTTCAGAGTACGTTACAATGAATTTAAATGTCTACCAAGTGCCACCAATTAATATTTTTTAAAGGGGATAAACATTGCAAGCACCAATTTTTAACACTTAATACTTTAGCCTTTTTCAATATTTTTATTTTTTTTTTCATTTCTTTTACTAAAATACCTTTTTTAGTGCTAAATACATGTCTCTTACCTCATCGCTATATTAATTTAAAATTTGTTAGCATTCTCCTAATTCCATATCTACTTGCCTTTAAGTTATTTTAGGATTAATCTAATGATTTAATTTACATTAATTCTAAAAGTTAATATTTCTTCATAAATAGTCAAGTGCTTAAGTGAACTTTATAAATTTACTTATTCATAATGACTAATTTTTTAAATGGAAGGATTAGTTATTATTGTTAACTATTTTATTAGGAATATTTTGTAAGTTGTGTACTATTAAATACTTATAATCTTAATTTTCCATTATTCAAAAGTTATAACTCAAACAAACAGTGCAATAGTAAGACAAGTAAAAAAGTTAAAACTTTGAAGAAGTGCAGATGGAAATAAAATTTCAAACCAATCTCTATTTATAATTAGGATAGCATTGCAACACTGGCTCAAATGATGATGTAGTACTCAATAAATTTTGGTTAAATCAGGTAAACATTCTACAATGCTTGGGATAGCGAGTGCTACAGTGCTACCCATGGAAAATGGAATCGTGGTGCTTTTATTGTGGTAGTGAGAAGCATTTTACTAAGCACCAGAGTGCTTCATCTACCTTATTTAAAATTTTACTAAGCACTGTAGCACCACATGGGTGGAACTACAATGCTCTACCTGATAAAATGATTAGAGAGCTCAATATCGCAGAGCTAAAGGATTAGCACTGCGGTGCTCCAAAGGGAGAAATGGCACTATGATAATTGATTTCTTTTACACTTATATAAAACATTTTAATAATTATTATAACATTATGGTGTAGGGATAAATTTTTCAAAATGATTTTCTTATCTCCATATTTAAGTAAAATAAACACATCATGATACATCTAACCTCTAAACAAGCCACATGGATTTCTATACTTAAAAATAACATCTGCAACACACATCCTAATCCACAGTAAATAAAAGGATCAATTAGGTTACCTCCCAAATAGAATTAATTGTATAGTATTCATCCATAATAAACTCTTATAAAAGGCACAAAAATTAATCATTTTGCCTCCCAAGTAGCACTAAGTTTATAGTCTTCAACCATATTATGCTAAGCTTTTATTTAAGAATGAGCTAGCTAAACAAAGCTTCTAAGGAAATCAACATCTCTTTCTAGATAAATTTTGAACCTAAGATCATTAACTTTAAAAATATAATGATTTTATGGATATCAACATCTACAGAAGGATTTACCTTTACTATAATGAATGGTCTGAACATCCTGGACTTCAATTTTCTTAGAAATAATTTTAATATTGAATTATTCAATAAAACATTTTGGTCAAGTGCAAATTCTTACCTAAGAAGCATATAATGGTGATGCTTCTTCATTTTCTCTTTATAATTTTTTTTTTGCATTTTCAGAAGCTTCATGTCTAAATTCATCTAATTCATTAAATTGTATCATTCTTTTCTCTTTAGAATCCTTCAAATTATAATTCAATTCTTTTAAAGCCATGAATACTTTAAGCACCAATTACAAAGGTAAGTGATTTGCTTTTTCCAAAAATTATTCTATAAGGTGACATTCTAGTAGGTAACTTAAATGCAATTCTGTAGGCCCAAAGTGTGTCATCTAACTTCAAAGCACAATCCTTCCTATTCAGACTTATATATATTTTTTTTTTCGAAAATTCTCTTAATATATCTATTACTTATTTCAACCTGACCACTATTTATGGATTATAAGAAATTGATACCTTATATATAATACCATATTTTTAACTAGTGTCTCCACTTTCTTATTATGAAAATGACTCCCTCTATCACTTATAATCACTCTAGGTATTCCAAATTTGGAAAAAAAAAATATTTTTCTTAAGAAATTTATTGACTACATAAGCATCCATTTTGGGAGTTACTATTCCTTTAATTTATTATAATAAACTACTTTTAGAATATATTCATTTCCAAAATATTACACAAGAGGTCCCATAAAATTAAGTCCCCAAACAGAAAAAAAAAAAAATTCAACTTCTAAAATCATACAAAGAGGCATTTCTTTTCTTTTAGTTATATTGCATACCTTCTAACAATAATCTTAACATATTCATTTGCATCTTTAAATTGAGTATACCTATAAAATCCATGTTGTAAGAACTTAGAAGAAGTTGTAAAACCTTTACAATGACCTCCCTATTCAGAATCATGATAATCTCAAAGTAGTTATTTTATTTTATTTTTAAAGACACATTGCTTATCAGTTAAAATTTGAGGAGTAGAAGAATGGAAATGGAAGCAAAAGGTACTTTGGGGATTCATTCCCCTATCACTCACTAATGTATTCATTAGCTTTTTGGAATTGTAGAGGAGCAAAGAAGAGGAGTGCTTCTCGGTTCCTTAAAGAATTTGTGAGATTGCATAATGTGATTTTTGTGGGTTTGTTGGAGACTAAATTGTCTTCTTTTGAAAGGAAAGAAGTTAATACTCTTATTGGAGATGGATGGAACTATGTTATGGTGTCATCTAGTGGATAATCAAGTGGTATGATTGCATTATAGAATGCAAATGTGGCTAATTTCACAATGGTTGATTCTTCTAATCAATGCATCATTAGGAATCTCTTGATTAACAACAATAGCAAATAGAGGGTGGCTGCAGTTTATGCCAATAAGGAATGAAGTAAAAGGAGGGAACTTTGGGAGATATTGGGAATCCATTCTTCTATTGGATTTCCCAAGGTGGTTGCTGGAGACTCCAACTGTCTCACTTTAAGGGAAGACAAAAAAGGAGGGAAAAGGTTTCAGTACACTCTGGTTCTAAGGAAATGGAGGCCTTCTTTACTAACAATGATTACCATGAGGTAAGATTCATTGGAACGCGGTTCACTTGGTTCAACAACAAATTTGGAGGAGCTCGGATCTTGGAAAGGCTAGATAGGTTCTTCTTAAAATCATTTGTATTAAATTTATCTTCTCAATTGGTTGTTAATCACTTAGCTAGAATAGCTTCCGATCATTGTCCCATCATCCTCAATATTCTCAATTTGAAATCACCAAGCGTGAAGGCAATTAAGTTTGAGGATGTGTGGGTTTCTTATCCGACTACCCTCAAGGTGGTAAAGAAGGCTTGGGCTACTAATTACCAGGTCAGTCAAGATCACATACTAAACTCAAAATTTAAAAGATCTCTTAGATCTCTTTTCTTTTGGAGTAAATCTAAGAAGGTAAATCTAAACTTGTCTAAAGAAAAACTGATGGAAGATATATCGGAGCTTCAAAACAAAGAATCTGATATTGGTTGGCTCTCTGAAGAAGATTGTTGGAAATTAAAAGCCAAGGTGTTGGAGCTGAATTCTATACTGGCTAGATTGAACACATGGTGGAAATAAAGAGCTAAAGTCAAATGGATGGTTGATGGAGATTGCAATTCTAAATTTTTTTATTCCTATGCCAGTGCAAAAAGAAGGTTGAACAACATTGTGAAAATCAAGGATGAGGAAGGGAATGTTCTGGAAGAGCAAAATCAAATTGAAGAAACACTTATTCGGTTCTTTAAGAAAAAGTGGAGGCAAAGGAATTGCAAGCTGGAGGGTTGGCCTAAGCCGATCTATACTTTGAATTGGGATGACAAATCTTGGCTACCAAGGGATTTCTCGTTGGAAGAAGTAGAGTTTTTTATCAATCAGTTGGGAGGCAACATTGCACCTGGTAGTGATGGAATCACTTACTCTTTTTTAAGAGCCTATTGGCGCATTATTAAAACTGGTTTTGTGAATGCAATCAGTTATTTTCTACAATATGGAGAGATGGATAAGTGATGGAAGGATACCTTGACTGTGCTAATCCCCAAAGTTTAAAATCCTTTAGTTCCTTCCAACTTTAGGCCAATCAGTCTTTGTAACTCTATTTACAAAGTGGCAGCTAAAGTTATTTTAAACAGGCTTATCTTGGTTATTCCCAAAGTCATATCAGAGGAGCAAGCGGCCTTCATCCAAGGGAGATCTATTTTAGATCATGTTTTGGTTGCTCAAGAGGTGTTTCACAAGTTCAGGATTTCAAAATCTACTAAAGACTTAGTAGCTTACAAAATTTATATGGAACAGGCATATGACTCAATGAGTTTGGATACTCTTTAAGGAGTCTTGAAATACTTTGATTTCCTTCCATTATTTTCCAAATTAATATTGGAATGTGTGTTAGAGCCAAGGTTTTCAATTATTATAAATGGAAGCCAATCAGAATGGATTTCAGCCAAGAGTGGCTTCCGGCAAGGCTGCCCATTGTCCCCATTTCTTTTTATATTGTGCTCTCAGCTTCTATCAAATGCACTTGCCTTGACTTCCATTGGAGTTAACATTTCTACTTATGGACCACGGATTTCACATCTGCTATATGTAGATGACATTTTGTTATATTCTGAAGCTAGTAAGAAGGTGGTTTTGGAGGTAAAAGGAATCCTATCCAATTTTAGCAAATGGATTGGTCAATGTATAAATATTGGGAAATCTGGAGTTCTCTTTGGAAAGGTGGTTGATAAAAGGAGGAGGAGGGCCATTACAAAAACTTTAGGTACCAAGGAAGTAAAAGAGTTTTCGTACCTTGGAATCAAGATGGCACTTAGAAGATTGAAGGCTAATGATTTTCAATTCATCATTGAGAAATCATTAAAGAAAATCAACACTTGGGGAAGCAATCTCATCTCCTTGGCTAGGAAAATAGCTTTAGTGAATTTGGTCACTTTGGCTATCCCAACTTTCTATAGCACTCACGCCTTGGTTCCTATCAGTATTCTTGAAGAAATCAACAAAATATGCATGAGTTTTATTTGGAATAAGCCCAATGGTAATGTTGGCATTCATTATGTAAATTGGGAGGAGTTATGTATACCTGTAGATAAAGGAGGAAGATGATTGTGCTCACCTACCTCCAAAGTGGCTGAACTGAGAGCAAGGCTTACATGGAGATTTTTGAATAATAAAAATTCTTTTTTATTCAAATTGTTGGCTCCTAAATATGGGTCCAAAATTGAAGAAGATAGTTTAAAGAGGAATGTATCTTCCTCATGGAAAATTATCACTGATGGAGGTAAAGTTCTACAGCCTTTCTTAAAATGGAGTGTGGCTAATGGGTCATCAATTAATGTATTTGAAGATAAGTGGCTGCTGTATAGGAGCTTAAATGAATGGCCTACATTTGTTGTTCCTCAAGGAGAAGAATCGGTATTGCTGGATAGGTTCATTGAAGACAAGGAATGGAATGTGGTTGAATTGCGAAAATTATTTGGTAGTGAATTGGTGGAGCTCGTTTTACACACAAAAATAATGTGTGATCAACGGGAGGATAACTAGGAGTTGATACACAAGAGATCGGGGAGATCAATTTCAGGAATGATTGCTGAAACCAGTGGCGGAGCCAGAAAATGTATCTAGGGGGGGCCTAAATTTTTTTTAAAAAATTTTCCTTCAACTTTTTACATTCGAACTTGGGAATAATATAGTCAGTTTTAAAAAGGATAAAACTTTGATAGCGAATTAGTTTATTTTTTTCCTTCACAAAATGACTTCCAATCATAAAATCACTTGATTACTGCTAGAACAGGTTCAATATATTAACTAAATATGTAATATCAAAAATCTCATTGCACAAAAACAAATCATAAAATCTCTTTAAGATCGAATCAATACACGATTAAGCTAATATCAACCAAGAAAAAAATGTAAATGAATAGGAAATTAAATTGGGAGTGATTTGAATGGACGTACGATGTTAAATCTTTTGATCGTGGACCATTTATTGGGCATTTAAATTTCTTAGTGATATCAAAATTCGGCGATCTTGGGCTCGTTGGATTCGTCTCATCTAGCTGCTCAATTCGACTATAAGCATGTCATGTTTGGAAATAATTTGGTAATCCAAATTATGGTTTAAACCTTCCAAATACACTTTGAGTCTTTGATTTGGAGTCATTTGGGTTAAGATTGAGTCGAATTTGGTGCCATTGGGTTCGCATTTTCGAGACGTTCAGTTCGATTGTAAGTTTGTTGAAATCAGAGTTCTAATGATCTCGAATTTAATTTTTGAAGTTTCCAACTTGATTTTATTTCATTGAAGACAAGGAATGGAATGTGGTTGAATTGCGAAAATTATTTGGTAGTGAATTGGTGGAGCTCGTTTTACACACAAAAATAATGTGTGATCAACGGGAGGATAAATAGGAGTTGATACACAAGAGATCGGGGAGATCAATTTCAGGAATGATTGCTGAAACAAAATATCAATATCAACCTGAGTGTAAATATTCAAAATGGATGAAAAAAGCTAAACTAAGCCCAAGGGTGGAAATTTTCTGCTGTAAACTATTCAAGAAAGCTATTCGAACTTACCATTTTCTGGTTCATAGAAGACTGCAAGAAATTGATGTCCAAGGTGTATGGACGACATTGAAGACATGGAACATATTCTTTTCAAATGTACCAAGATAAAGGAGGCTCTGTCACAAATCAACAAATGGGGATTTGGAATTCCTTTCTTTAAAAACCTTCAAGATTGATGTAGTTGGATGGATCAAACAGCAGCTCACAATGGTATGATTCTTAATTTATTCTACAATGTCCTATTTTTTTTTCATGGAAGGCTAGAAACAGGTTTACACACGATAAGGTGGTTGAAGGTGCTATATCAGTGGCTGCTAATGCAGTATGCTATTCTTCTATATCTAAATTGATTATTAAAGCTAATTTGGATCTACGGGATGTTAACCAGCTCCTTAGGCTATCAAAAATTTGGCATCCCCCTCCATCCGAATGGTTAAAAATCAATGTAGATGCTTCGCTTGACACTTCTTATAAAGCTGGTATTGGAGGTGTTATACATGATAGCAAGGGGAGATTCTTATTGGCTTTTGGGGAAAAATACATTCATTGGGATGTTTATTATTTGGAGCTTCTAGCTATCAAGTCATTGAAATAAATTATTAAAGATTGGATGTTCAAATACTAGGGAGCAATCATTGAAGGAGACAATGCTAATGTAATAAGAAGGCTTCAAAAGGTAAGGATTAATGACTTCAAGGTGAAGAAGACTTTGATTTCTTTAGAGAGTTTAATTAAGTTATTTTATCTTGTGTTGATAGAGGTAGCAACAAGCTAGCCGATTGGTGTGCAAAGTATGCCACGGCTAGCAATTTTATTTGGGAAGACCTTTGCTTGAAAAAGATTCCTCCTTCATTTGTAAAGTTATTGAAGGAGGAATCAACTTTGTAGTTGTTTATTTTTTGCTTCTCTTGCTTTTAATGCATTTATTGCTCTTTAAAAAAAAAGACACATTGCCTAATGATTTGATCCTTACATCTCCTAAACAAGAGTGTGTCATCCCAAAAATATAATTTAGCATCATGTAGAAATTTGTACCTTTGGGAATAAGATATGTTAGTAAAATTTTCCCCACCAAAAATATAAGTCATAATATCAGCATACCAAGGCATACTAATTGAAAGAACAACAAATAAATGCTCATTAGGAAATATCTCATCTATTTCACAGTCATCACATGTAGGTTTTTTTTAGCTCAACTCTAGATAAATGATTAGCCACTTAGTTCTCTGTTCCTTTCTTATCAAGAATTCATACATCAAATTCTTGCAACAAAAGAATCTATCTCTCAAATCTAGGATTGGCAACTTTCATTTTCATGAGAAATTTAATAGTATAATGGTCAGTGTAAATAAGAACACTACTATTAATCAAATAAAATCCTAATTTTATAAAGGAAAATATAATAACTAACAATTTTTTTATAGCATTTGTGTAATTAAATTGTGTTGAATTTGAGGTTATGATAATATAATAAATGGCTTGAAGTTTTTTTACATTCTTTGGCCTAACACAACACCTACAGCATAATTATAAGCATCACACAAATTCAAAATGGTGTGTCCAATCAAGTGTAACAATAATATGCGTAGAGATTAAGTGTTGATTCAAAATATTAAAAACTTTTAGGCATTTATCATCAAAGTCCTAAGGGACATCATTTTCAAGAAAGTGACATAAGGGTTTTGAAATTAAAAAAAAAATGAATAATGAATCTTCTATAGAACCCAGCATGACCAATGAAGTTTCTAAGTCCTTTAATAGAAGTGGTAGGTGGTAAATTTTTAATTACTTGCACTTTAAGCTTATCTACTTATAAGCCTTTCTTTAGAAATTTTATGGCCTAAGACAACACCTTATGTTACCATAAATTGACATTTCTCTTAATTAAATACCAAATTGTTTTACACATCTTTTTAAAACCAAAGTTAAATGCTCAAAACAAGAATCAAAAGTCGTACCAAAAATAGAGAAATTGACCATATAAATTTTAATGCCCTGCTTTATTAAGCCAGAAAAAAATGACATTATTCACCACTAAAAGTAGTAGGTGCATTGCACAAATCAAAAGGTATCCTCCTAAAGGTAAAAGTCCCATAAGATTGGTAAATGTTGTATTATCTTAATCTTCAGGTGCTATGGAATTGGTGGTATCATGAATATTCAACTAAGAAGAAATAAAAAGAATGTCCTGCAAACCAATCCAACATCTAGTAAATGAAAGGCCGGGGAAATTGGTCCTTCCTAGTTTTTTTGTTCAACTTCTTATAATGTGTACAAACCCTTCATCAAATAACTATCCTAGTAGGGATCAATTAATTCTTTTCATTAATTAAACTATCAAAACTCCCTTCTTAGGAACACTATGAATTAGACTAACCCAGGAACTATCAAAATAGGATAAATAAAAACTACATCTAACCACTTAAGTGTTTCCTTTTTAATAACTTATTTTTATTATAGGGTTTAGTCTTCTTTTAGGATCAGCTTTTGGGTAAGAATTTTCCTCCATCAAAATCTTATGCATGTAAATGGATGGAATAATTCTTTTAATGTATGTTTGGTCCAACCAAAATCTTTCTTAAACTCATAAATAACTAAAAGTTCATGAGGGGTGTTAAACCCTAAAGAACTAGTCCCAAGGCTACCAAAGAGGGGGGTGAATTGGATATTTAAAAACTTCTTTATTAAAAGAAAATTTTGTTTATAACTTGATGTGGAAATGAATTAAATTCATAATAAAAAGTTCAATCAATATTTTCACCCATACAATTAATCGCAAGAAAAATAAATATGAAAATGCTAAAGGAAAGAATACATCAAAATTTATAGTGGTTTGGTCAACCTGACCTACGTCCACTCTTTGGAGACTCCCTTTTTTAGGATCAGCTTTTGGGTAAGAATTTTCCTCCATCAAAATCTTATGCATGTAAATGGATGGAATAATTCTTTTAATGTATGTTTGGTCCAACCAAAATCTTTCTTAAACTCATAAATAACTAAAAGTTCATGAGGGGTGTTAAACCCTAAAGAACTAGTCCCAAGGCTACCAAAGAGGGGGGTGAATTGGATATTTAAAAACTTCTTTATTAAAAGAAAATTTTGTTTATAACTTGATGTGGAAATGAATTAAATTCATAATAAAAAGTTCAATCAATATTTTCACCCATACAGTTAATCGCAAGAAAAATAAATATGAAAATGCTAAAGGAAAGAATACATCAAAATTTATAGTGGTTTGGTCAACCTGACCTACGTCCACTCTTTGGAGACTCCCTTTCCAGGTATTGCACTAAACAGAAGTAACTCTCTTTTTGCTCCTATAATAAGGTAAAGAAGCCTATAAATAAGCTGTTTCACCTCTTCAGTGCAGTAGAGAATCGTAACTCTTTTACAAGCAAAGAACCTCAACTCTATTTCCACTCTCCTTATGATGGTTAGAGAACCACAACTCTATTTTCACCATCTAGGTGATGGTCAGAGAACCACAACTCTATTTTCACCGTCCAGGTGATGGTCAGAGAACAATAATCTTTGCT